CCCTGGTTATCTGCTGCAGTGGATGCATGGTTGTCGCTGTTTCCATATTGAGGGTCACTAGCAGAAGGAGAAGCAGCAGGTGGAGGAGATGCAGTAGAATGATCAGAAGAAGAAGAAGAGGTATCATCAGTACCAGAACCAGAACCAATCTCAGGAGCAGATTCACCTAATGTAACTTGAGCACCAGTCCTATCAGCAGCACGATGACCATCTTTATTAGAAGGAGCATCGACAAGAGCACCAGTTCCAGGCTTTTCAGGAGTAGGTATTATTGGTTTAGGTGGAGTCAGTTCCTCTGGTGTAGTTGTACAAGGAAGATTAGAAGAATTTTGAGTGCAAGTGGCACCAGGCGCAGATTGCTGATGAGGAAGGGTAGGATGTTGTTGGGGTTGAACACCAGGAGCGATGTCAGCACCCCGAACCCCAGTTTCAGAGAGAGAATCAGAAGAAGAAGTACGACCACCTCCATTACCACCAGAAGAACGACCACAAGGAGAATTACTACTATCAGAAGCAGAAGGACAAGAACCACCAGCACCAAGACAAGGAGTATCAGGAACAACCTCCTTCTCAGCTTCCGTTGGCAGGGTTTCCTCCTCTTCCACTATCAAATCGAACTCCGCAGGAACGGCACGATGAACACGAGAAGGAACACCAACAGTGGAAGTTTTAATAAGGGCATCAGAAGTTTTAGGACTATCAGCCCATACTAACCCACAAGCACAACACAGTGCAAGAGTTAGTAAACAGAGCAGGTAGCACCTCACCATTACAGCCTTTGTCATTATTGTTTACTTCAATAAATTAACACAAGAAAAAGGAAGGAAAAGAAAAGATTAAGCTAAAACAAACAAACATACAAGAGTACAACAAATACTCACAGTGGAAAAGAGAGAAGCAGCAACTGCACAGTAAAGCAACAAAAAAGAAATATTCCGCTTTTACGATAATAATATGAACCCATAATATAAAGAAAAAAGAGAAGACCCCACATTACCCAAATAAGAGAGAGAGCCAAACACACACAGACAATACCCCATGGCTCTAGTTTATATATTAAATTACTGCACACACACACATCTGTGTGTA